ATAAGTTTAATTAATATTCACATGAGTGACCCCAGGACACTTGCTTTTCAGAAGGACTTTAAATTTGATCTTTTTCCTGATTATCAATATTTAGCATAGTTTAAAAATTATTAAAAATTACATATAATGACTTAAAAATTATAACATGTAATTAATAAGCCTACTTAAATGAATTAAGTAAATGTCTATGCATGCTAATAGGGAGTTTGCTGTTTTTATTATCCAGAAAACTTTTTTCGTGTGCGTGTCTATGTATTTGTGTTTAGTCTACATTGTCATAGTTTATAATTGAATGACCAGTTCCTTTTCTAACCAAAATATCTTTAAAAGGATTACATATTATTTAGTCTCCCCCCCACTTCCTTCCTTCCTGTCATTAGCATTATATGTAGCAGCAGGCAGGCTTACTTCTTTAAGGAAGACCATCCAGGTGAGTATCAGTCCATTACTCCCCATCACTGACAACAGATGGAGAATGAATGGCTTGAGTGAAATGGTGGCTGTGAAAGCTAAAACAAGTGAAGCTCTAATTCTAATTAGTTTGTCTATTTTAATAGTATTTGGTCCTTGGTGTATTCCACAGCTGTAAAGTTTATGGCAGCTATACTTTGCTTTTGGAAATCTATTTTCTTTATAAGTATTTTTCTGATTAAAGATTAATTTATATTAATTGAAGAAAATAAGCAGAACATAAATTATTAAATATAAATTATAATTCATCAGTTAGTAATAAATCTTATTTATTATATTTTCTATTTTTTACATACTTGGGATCATACTGTACATATAATTTCAGAGTCACATTTTTCCCCTCAATATCATCAGTATTATTCCATACTGTTGAAAAGACCCTGAAAATCCAATTTTTAATGGCCAAGTAGTATTCATTATGATCACTATAACATTAATTACTTGTTGGTCCCAGTTTTCAATTGTATAAGCAATGTGATGAGAAACATATTGAACACATATTTTTGTTTGTTTGTTTTTCAATTTTATTCTGATTTGGGTGAAAGTTTACAGAGCAAATTCATCTTCCATACAGCAATTCACATATACTTTGTCTCATGACATTGATTACAATTTACCATGGTACAACAGCTCTCCTCCCACTTCCTCCCCATATCCACCTCTTCCATGTGTTCTTCCCTCCCATGCATTCCTGCCCCCCCGAACTGTCTTCCTGTGTATACACAGCCCTTCTATTCTCCTATAATTTATCTCTCCAAGGAGTATATATATATAATGTAAATGTTCAGCTCATATGCCTGTCTTTTGTTTAGCTGGAAGCCATAGGAGTGGGTTTAATTCCAGACCTGAAGGTCAGCTAGGGGCCATGGTCTCAGGGGTTACACCAAGCTCTATCAGACCAGCAAACCTAGTCCCTTTTTCTATTTTTATGATTTTGAGTTTTGTTCCACATTGTTCTCCCACTCTATCCAGGATCTCCTACATAGGTCCCCCTCCAAGTGATTGATAGTAGTAGCTGGGCACCATCTAGTTCTTCTGTTCTCACAGTCATATAGGCTGAGGATTGCATGGTGTACCAGTCACTCGGATGAATTGTTTCCATGTATCTTTAGTTTTCTACATTATTTTTTGCTCTGAATAAGAAGAGACCCATTGTTGCATCTAGATGGCCCCTTCCAGGCTTTTAAGATCCCGGTCACTACTCACCAAAGTAGGATGTGGAAAAATATTTTTGTGTAGTATGTTATGCCAGTTGAGTTTGATGTCCCCTGAAACCATGGTCCCAAGCCCACAGGTCCAAAAGTTCACTCCCTCTGGGTAGCTGGCTGTGGGGAAGAAGTGACTACAACCATGTCCCTTGTCAGCTCTACTATATACTAGGAAATTCTTATAGAACATACAAATATACTTGTAGAAACATTGTCTGCCAATGCTATGCATGGTCATGGGCACACTCCCCTCTGCACAGACATACTAATCATTCAGCCTATGTACCCATCTGTCCACCCATACATCAATGTTTGCCATCACTGACAACGCAGTCCTCTATGTGCAAAAGGGTTCCTCTTTGTTGTCTGCACCTCCCACACACCTCTCTGTCTTCTTCTTCCTCAATGCCACCGTGTTGATCTCTCACATTTGGTACATTGCCCTTCCCTTCACCCAAATCAATACTTGCCTCTACCTATCTAGCAGTGTTCCCGCCCCTCCCCTCCAACCCCTGGTACCCAGCAAAGAAAATTTCCTTCCATATATAAACCTTTCCTTGGCTTTTTACAATAATGGACTCAAACAATATTTGTCCTTCTGTGATTGACTTATTTCACTCAGCATAATGTCCTCCAAGTTCATCCACATTATGTGGTGTTCTGCTGATTCTACATTATTCTTTAGTGTTGCATAGTATTCCATTGTGTGTATGTACCATAGTTTGGTTATCCATTCTTCTATTGATGGGCACCTAGGTTGTTTCCATCTTTTTGCTATTGTAAATAGTGCTGCAATGAACATGGGGGTGCATATATCTATTCTTGTCCTGGTTCTCACTTCTTTAGGATATATACCTAGTACTGGAATTGCTGGGTCAAATGGTATTTCTAATTCCATCTATTTAAGAAATTGTCATACTGCTTTCCACAGTGGTTGTATCATTGGACAGTCCCACCAGCAGTGTATGAGAGTCCCAATCTCTCCACATCCTTGTCAGCATTTGCTATTTTCTGTCTTCTTGAGCTTTGTACTAGTGTGGGACAAGATGGTGTCTCTTTGTTATTTTGATTTGCATCTCTCTAATGGCTAATGATTGCGAGCATTTCTTCATATGTTTGTTGGCTGCCTGGATTTCCTCTTTGTTGAAGTGTCTAATCATATCTTCTGCCCATTTTTAATTGGATTATTTGTCTTTTTGTTGTTGAGGTGTTGGAGTTTTCTGTAAGTTTTAGAAATGAGTCCCTTGTCTGATACATTGTTGCCAGATATTTTTTTTTCCAATCTGTAGGTTATCTTTTGACTCTTTTGGAGAAGTCTTTGGTAGCACATAGCAATCTGATTTTTAGAAGGTCCCATTTATCTAGTTTATCTTCTGCTGTTTGTGCATTTGGGATTATGCTTGATAATCTATTTTTGCCATGTATGTTGTTGTTGTTGTGTGCCGTCGAGTCGGCCCCGACTCATAGCAACCCCTCCTTGGGTCTCCGAGGCAGTTTCAGTACGGAAGTAGGAATGCCCAACCTTCCTTCCGAGGAGTGGCTGGTGGGTTTGAACCGCCAGCCTTCTGGTTAGCAGTCAAGTGCCTTAGCCACTATGCTACCAGAGCTCCCATGTATAAGGGCCCTTAAATTTGCCCCAATTTTTTCCTTGAAACTTTATAGTTTTAGGCTTCACATTTGAGTCCTTTATCCATCTGGAGTTAGTTTTTGTATATGGTGTGAGGTACAGATATTGTTTTGTTTTTCTGCAAATGGATATCCAGTTTTGCCAGCACCATTTGTTAAACAGATAGTCTCTTCCCCATTTAATGGTTTTCAGCTCTTTGTCAAGTATCAGCTGACCATAGGTTGATGGATCTATTTCTGGGTTCTCACTTCTATTCCATTGGTCTATGTGTCTGTCATTGTACCAATACCAGGCAGTTTTGACTACTGTGGCTGTATAGTAGACTTTGAGACCCAGGAGTGTGAGACTTCCTACTTTCTTCTTCTTCTTCAGTAGGAGCACATATTTTTCTGTTCACCATCTATTATTATAAAACAGCATTATGATACCTATTTAATTACATATTTTTACTGATGACTTAATATGGTATAAGATAGGCACACATTGTTCTAGGTGAGAGTAAGTCTGAGAATATTTTATATGGTGGTAGATCAGTTCTTTGAAGGATGCACAGAGAATACTTTAACAGGAAAAAGAGAGTCAAAGTGGAGAATTCACAAGTGGGGGAAATTTCTGAACAGAGATGTGAATGGGAATGATGAGTTTAGGTTGTATGTATCTCTTTGTATAGGTATGATCTAACCACAGTGGCTGGGTAGAATTGAAAGATTGAAATGTAGCATAAGGACTTTGAATTTCTGTAGTAGGATAGGCATGGCAACTTAACTGAATTTTCTGGACCATTGTACCTTTAACTTTATATATAAAAAATTGTTTTTTTTTTTTTTTTAAGCACACATTTTGTACAAGACCCTGTGAAAGCCCAATAAAAACATGGTGGAGGCCCACAAGGGACTTATACTTCAATGGAGATGATGATACTAAATCAATGAATGAAGTGTTCTGACATGTATTTCCTATAAGTACATTCATATTGTCAGACTGTGATATAGTGTTGCTTTGGCAAAACATGCATATAGTGGCAATTGAAAGCCTTTGAAGGTGTAGAAGCAGAGCAGAATCCCGAGCTTCATCATGCAAATATTGAGAAGGTTGGCCTCATCTGTCTTCATATGAAGGGAGCTGGTTAGAGGCAGGAATAGCAAGTAAGATCTATTAAAGAACAAAGGGTTAGGAAACAGAGGCTCTAAGAATTAGCAGAATGGGTTTGGGGAGAGGAAGGGCTTAAATTTGTATGAATAATTTAGTGATAATAATCACTTAGTGGACACTTTTCAAAATATAGAGTTCTACCCCAAATTTGCTGAATTTGAATTATTTTTGGGATGCAACCAGGCACATACATATTTAAAAAGCTCGCTAGAAGAGTGTGACATATACCTGGATGCAGACTACTAAATGAATTAGTGTATGTTTTTTCCACTCCAACAATTTATCAAATTGTCTGAACCTGCTATTTGAATCTTACACACTTAATGTGTATTTGTATGCATTTTTCTTCTGCATATTTTTTTTCACACTATTTTCAGTTCCTAAGAACCTTTTTTGTTAGTTTATGCCAAGTTGTATGAAAAACTTACTACTAATTAGTGCTCCTTTGCAAAAATCAATTTTGAGCAAATGATATGCACTCTTCAAGTTAAAAGGAATTTCTGTAACTTTTTTCTTATTAAATGATAGGAACAAAATTCAGGATGGATGTCCAAGCATGGTTTTTGAGAACTTCAAAGTTGGCTCTTGCCCTGGCAATTATCCGGTCAAAACCAGCAGACAAAAGCAGCAGAGAATATACAGAACATCTTGCAATGGTGGTGTCTGGGCAGGAGTCTAAGTGGAGATCAAAAGTCAAAGCCTTGGAAGCTGAAGTTCTGCAATTACGCCAGAAACTTCTTCTGAGCAGGATTTATTCAGGATCTTTTAAGAATGGTGAGTGTCTGAAATTACTTTTCGGTAATACGCTACCCTGTGTTAGTTCAGCTTCACAATTATTTAGAAATTTATACTGCCTCGGAAACCCAAGGAGGGGTTGCTATGAGTTGAATTGACTCAACGGCAGTGACTTTGGTTATTCTTTTGGTTATTATCAAAACACCAGATGGTTTAGTTTCCTTAAATATTAGGTTTCTTATTTTTGTCACATTTTTTTTTTTTTAAATTCTAGTTATTCATTAAAACTTACTGTTATTTGACAAGGAATCCAGCTATATTTGATGTTGGGATGAAGTTAGAGAATGAATATAGTGAAAATGTGAAGAAAATAATATTTTTAACTTATTAGAGAAATGCATTTTAAAATCTTATTGTCCAATCTTGTTATTTTACTTTATGTTTTATTTTGATCTTACATAAATTGATTTACCCAGTAGTCATATATCAGTTACATGCTATGGGCCAGGCATGTGGTGGATGATGAGAACCCAAACCATATAACATGAGGTGCTGTCTTTGATTAAGAACCTACCCTTCTAGAAGGGAAAACAGGGCTATAAATAATTAATCGAGTTGTGATAAATACTCCGGTAGAGATATTGACAAAGTACAGAGGAGAGAGCCATTCATTCTGCCTGGTTGCTAGGAAGGTTTTTCATGTCTGGACCTCAAGGGTCTGTCCAGTAGTCAGTGGGAGGCAAGAAACAGGAATATGAGAAAAAGAGCAAAAATGCAGAGTATTTGTTCCGTTTAGGCCACTGCTACTGCTATATTTCAGAGTAACCCAATTTTCAGAGTATATTCCACCAGAATAAACAGGTAACCATAACCTGGTGAAGAAGAGGTGTGTGGTAAAGATGTGATGGGTAATAAGAAAAAGGTGGGTTGTAACCAGATTCAGAAGGGAATTGAATGTTGTCCTGAGGGATATTTACTGTGTTTCTTCTTAAGTAAGTTGACCATAAAATTTATTGTGTTCACTGTGACCTTTGTGAGTATATAGAAGGGTGCTATTAATAATTATACTAGTTAAACAAGCAAAAACCAGAACTCACTTGAGAAAATTGGAACATTTTGTCACTTGTTCTTTAGGAACCATTGAACTTTTCAAAGCAGAGGATTGTTGCTCATATTGTGATAAACGTAATTCTGGGAACAGTTCTGAGTCATTAGGCTAGCAGTTCAAACCCACCAGCCATTCCTCAGAAGGAAGGTTGGGCAATCTACTTCCATAGTGATACTGCCTCGGAAACCCAAGGAGAGGTCGCTATGAGTCGGATCCAACTCGATAGCAGTGAGTTTGGTTTTTGGTTTTGGTTTTAAAAATGTGCATCAATTCAAGTTCCTTCTTTGCATAAAGTCTTTCCTTGGCTTCCTTTTATGCTGTGGGTGAGATCCAGACTTTGACTGCAACCCAGGAAAGTATGGGTAGTTTCACCTCCCTTCACCTCTCCCACCTTATCTCACCTACTCTCTCCCTTGTTCATTAACTCCACCCACCTTAGCCTTTCCTCAGTGCTCTTTCTCACCTGGGACTTTTGTTATGCTCTTCTCTCTGGCTTTTTGTGTGGCTGGCTGGCCTTTTCTACAGATCTTATTCCAAATGACACCTCCTCAGTGAGGTCTTCCTGACCACCTTATCTACATAACACCCCTCTTTACTCAAGTACCCCTTGATTATTTAAATATTTGTTTGGTTAGTTAATGCCTTATCTCTTGAACTATAGTTTACATTCATTGAGGGAAGGAGCTTTGGTTTTCTCAGCATTTTGTGGCTCAGTAGTTAAGCCACTTCTTCTTCTGAAGAAGAGGAGCCATTGTACAGAATGTGGCTGTTGCATCATGAGTGGGCAAGTATAGCCGATAATAGAACACTATCTTTAGTTTTGAGAATTATCAGGACAACTTGCTGAGTTAATCCCCAGCTGTTACTAAAATCCTATTACTGTGTGAGTGAAAATGGTATTACACGATTTATAGCTCCATTTTACTTTCTCTAAAGTCTTTCTAGATAATGGGCTCTTTGAGTAAATCTGGAGAACGACAAACAATCAATTTTTCTTAATATTTGTCCTGTGCAGCTATTCAGTTGACTCATTTAAAAATATCTAGTAAGCTTAAACTGTGACTATCATAAACATTCATGATATCAAAACTGATGTTTACAACACTAATATAATGATGTGTGTTATTTGTTTATATCATGAGTGTGCCTAACAATGAGAGGCTGGGTAATAATAACTTGTTCTTACATGGAAACACTTTAACTTACAGTACCTGAGAGAGAAATTTTCAAAAATTATATAATTACAATCAATTTTACTCACAGCAGGAGTCGCAGGTAAAGCATTTTAGTGCAGATGTTTGGAAGTAATGTGTCTCTCCATCTGTTAACTTACTCTTCCAAAATGAAGAATAAATGGGTAGATTCAGATAAATGGAGTCACTATTACAAAGGAGAGGGAAAAGTAAGAAAGGGGATTGTCAGATGCTTAGGAAAATAAAACAAAAACTGCAGCTATTTAAAGATGCACCATTTGAAAAGACTAATATGCTTTGTTCTAAGAAAACTTCATACTTAAAAATCAAAACTATATAACAGATGTATTTATATTATTAAATTTTTCTTTCTGGAATTTTCAGGGTTGCTTTACTTGTATAATTGTTCTTGAGAGTTCAGAGATAGCAGACTCTCAATAAATGTTGAATGGAATATTTCTTGACATATTGAGAGGCTGGAGAACTTAATTTATAGCATCAATTATCCATTAAGTAACTGAGCAATCCATAATTAAGTAAAGCATAGCTAAAATAGCAAAGTAAACAAATAATAAAGTATGATATGGTTTATACAGCATTTCAGGAACTTAGCTATTTCTTTTATTTATTTTCCACCAACTTCTTAAAGTGGATTATATATCTTTAGTATATTTATTAAGAGACTAGCCGGGTCTGACTCAATGGCATACAACAAAAACAACAACAGGCTATATAGAGAAAGGAGAACTCGAATTTGCTCTTGGGATTATGGTACATTTTCATTTCATTGAAGTGCTCACTAGTAGATGACAGACAAACACAAAGAAAGAAATTAAGAAAGAAACCCAGATCAGAAGGCAGAGACAAGATGGCATCCTACTAATACGCTCTGCCCAATCTCTATTCTATGGGCAAAATATTGAATGATGCAGGAAACATCAAGAGAAGATGGCAGGAATACACAGAGTCACTGTACCAAAAAGAACTGATCGATCTTCATCCATTTCAGGAAGTGGCATATGATCTAGAACCAATGGTAATGAAGGAAGAAGTCAAAGCTGCAATGAAAGAACTGGCAAAGAACAAGGCTCTGGGAATTGATGGCATACCGATTGAGATATTTCAACAAACAGATGCCCCATTGGAGGCACTCACTCACTTATGCCAAGAGATTTGGAGGACAGCTACCTGGCCAACTGACTGGAAGAGATCCATATTTGTGCCCATTCCAAAGAAAGGTGATCCCACAGAATGTAGAAATTATAGAACAATATCATTAATATGGCATGCAAGTAAGATCTTACTGAAGATAATTCAGAAACGTTTGCAGCAGTATATTGATAGAGAACTTTCAGAGGTTCAAGCCGGATTCAGAAGAGGACATGGAACAAGAAATATCATAGCTGTTGTCAGATGGATCTTGGCTCAAGGAAGGGAATACCAAAAAGATGTTTACTTGTGTTTTATTGACTATGCAAAGGCATTTGATTGTGTGGATCATGACAAATTATGGATAACATTGAGAAGAATGGGAATTCCCGAGCACTTGATTGTACTCATGAGGAATCTGTACCTTGACCAGGAGGCTGTCATTCAAACAAGAACAAGGGGACAATACATGGTTTAAAATCAAGAAGGGAGTGCATCAGGGTTGTATCCTTTCTCCACACTTATTCAATCTATATGCTGAGCAAATAATCCGAGAAGCTGGACTATATGAAGAAAAAGGTGGTATCAGGATTGGAGGAAGAATCATTAACAACCTGAGATATGCAGACGATACAACTTTGCTTGCTGAAAGTGAGGATGACTTAAGGCACCTACTGATGAAGGTTGAAGAATACAGTCTGCAGTATGGATTACATCTCAACATAAAGAAAACAAAAATCCTCACAACTGGACCAATGAGCAGCATCACAATAAATGGAGAGAAGATTGAGGTTGTCAAAGAATTCACGTTTCTTGGTTCTACAATCGATGCCAACAGAAGCAGCAGTCAGGACATTAGACGATGTGTAGCATTGGGAAAGTCAACTGCAAAGGAACTGTTTCAAGTGCTGAGGAGCAAGGATATCTCCTTGAGGACTAAGGTGCGCCTGACACAAGACATGATGTTTCCAATTGCCTCGTATGCATGTGAGAGCTGGACAATGAATAAGGAAGACCGAAGAAGAGTTGATGCTTTTGAGTTGTGGTGCTGGCGAAGAATGCTGAAAGTACCGTGGACTGCTAAAAGAACTAACAGATCTTCCCTGGAGGAAGTGCAGCCAGAATGCTCCTTGGAAGCAAGAATGGCCAGACTTTGTCTCACCTATTTTGGTCATGTTGTAAGAAGGAACCATTCCCAGGAGAAGGATGTCATGCTTGGTAGCGTGGAGGGTCGATGAAAGAGGGGGAGGCCTTCAAGGAGATGGATTGATATGGTGGCTGCGATGATGGGCTCAAGTATAGCAGGAATTGTGGGGCTGGCACGAGATCGGGCAGTGTTTCGTTCTGCTGTGCATGGGGTCGCTATGAGTCGGAAACGACTCGACGGCACTTAACAACTACAACAACAAATCTCTCTACAACAGAGACCCAGAAAAAACAAGTGAAACAGATACAAATAATGATCTTGGAACCCTGAGCATCAGATGAGAGGATAAAGAATTAGATTGAGCTCTGATTGGAAAGGGAGATGGAGTGGAGTCAGTGACTGGGGAAAGAAAAGATGCTGGGACTGGTTGAAGTGTCACCAT